GTCCAGGACTTTCGCCCAGGTCCTTGTCCTGGCCCCACCCACCTCGCTGCTGACCCGTCTGCCCACCCTCTCTATCCCACTTGTGCCAGGAATCATTGTCTCCGAGTGCTGCGGGGAGTTTTGTATTGTGCTCACTGTGGCGCTCACGCCACGTTGAATGTTCAGGGTCTTGCCAAGCCTTGCAAGGCCGACCGTCCTCCTACTAAAGCTGGGAAGGAGGTACTGTCCAGGCTGGAGAGGGGGCTGCCCCCCAAGAGCGGAGGTAAGTTTCCACATGTTCCTTGAATGTAAGGACGTGCCCAGGCTTGACCTGGTCTCCACGGGCTTTCTTGTCTTATCTTATCCTCCTCCTCCTCCTCCTCCTCCTCCTCCTCCTCCTCCTCCTCCTCTTCCTCCTCCTCGGGAGGGGGGGGGGGAAATCAGCTTGCGTATTTAGCGGGCTCCTGGCGCATCCTGGCGCCGGAGGCGCCTGGGCATCGAGACAAGCGACGACCAGCGGCTGGGCCGAGACCGGCTGCATACCGCAGATTTAACGCGCCCCCCCTTTCCATATCGTTAGGTCGGGCATGTCCCCTAGAGGCGGTTTTTGGACGAAAACTATGTTTCAAAATGCACAAGAAGAAATAAACATCAAATATAGTCAAAATGAGATTAACAGCAAAAACGCCCCCTGACTTTTTTGACCAGTTTTGAATGTTCCTGGATATGCCCGACTTAACCCTATCGCCCCCTTTCGTCCGACCCGATCCTGCATCCCCGCTGGAGGGCTGCTGGACGCAACCGGAGGCCCGAGCAAAGCTCCCACGGGGCACCTCCGGAAGGCTCTGCAGCACCACCCCCGCAGCATCGGGGACCAACGAGAACTTCCAGCGAGTTCATCCGCCACCTCCACCTGCTCCGCCTCCACCTCCTCCTCTTCCTCAGTCTCCTCCGCCTCCTCCTGCTCCTCCTCCTACTCCTACTCCTACTCCTCCTCCGCCACCCCCGCCTGCTCAGCCTCCTCCTCCTCCTCCTCCTCCACCTCCTCCTCCTCCTCCTCAGCCTCCTCCGCCCCGTGCCAATGCTGTTCTATACTCCTCTGGGGGAGTCGGCTGGGGACGCACGGGGCGCCACTAAGGGCGTGGATTCCCCACGCCCGACGAGCACCCCAGCAGAGCCCCCAGGGGAGTGAACAGCGGGGCGACAGTGGCAAGAGGCACGTTCAAGTGCCCTCCCAGCACTAGGAGTAACCGCCTGAGGGGGTTAGGGAAGGGCTAGAATCAGAGCGTGGGCTGGGGCGAATGCCAGTCCCCAGCCACGCCAGGGGGGTAGAGAAGCAACGGAGACCGTATGCATCATGTAGGGTTCACACTTGTAGGGGGCAGAAGGGCCCAGACCCCTCGGACTAAGGGGCTGGGAGCGTGGCCCCCTTGGCACCCCAATTTAACGCAGCACCCTTCATAGACTTGGAATATGCTAGTGGACGTGGGGGGGGGGAAGATTAAGGAGCCTGGCGAGCCGGGACAACAAGGTTCGCCTTGCATTGTTCATATTAGTCTTGGGGCGGCCCTGAGGCTTCACAGTCGTGGGGCGGCCCTGGGGCCTGGGCTGGCGCTTTAGGGGGCTTCACAGTCGTGGGGCAGGCCATCGCCCACCAGAGAGGCGGCCACGGCGCAGTCCGGGTTAGTGGTGCCCCACAGTCGTGGGGCCGTTCTTGTAGCAGTAAATGTCGAATTTTAGTATTGGAAGGTTCGCCCCCGCGGCCGCTCCCATAATAGGTGGGTAGCTTTCAAGGGGATGGCCGTGCTTCACAGTCGTGGGGCAGCCTGTCAAATGGTAGTAGGGGAGGGGTTTGCCGAGTAGGTATTGCTATCTAGTCGCGGGGTTACACGAGACCGTAAAGGTAAAGGGATAAGCGAGGGGCAACGCTAAGGCTTCACAGTCGTGGGGCGGCCCTCCTGTTGAGGGAGGATGAGAGTGGGGTTGTTAAAGGGCACAGTCGTGGGGCGTTGCTCGCCTGCCTCTCATTGTGAGAGGGGGGTGGGCAAGCTTCAAAGTCTGGGGGGAAGGGACGAATTGCCACTTAGTGGTGGGGGGACAAGTGACAGCGAAGGGCAAAGGTAAGAGTTTGGCGATAATAAGGCTTCACAATCATGGGGCGGCCCTCCTGTTGAGGGAGGATGAGAGTAGGATAGTTAAGCGGGCTTCACAGTCGTGGAGCGGCCCCCCTCCAGAAGGAGGACGGTGGCGCATTCCATACGACGGGCTTCACAGTCGTGGGCCGTGTCTCGCCTGGTAGGCATCCGTGGGTAGATTACATAGTATCCGAGTAATAGCGGTCGGGGTACGGCATAGTAGTAGTTGCCATGTTGTTCGTGCGCAAGCCATAATTGATACCAAAGCACAATGCGATGCGGTTGCGATGTGATGCTATGCGACCCGCATTCCAGCCTTCCAGCCCTTATGCCCAATGGCCTATGGCCGATGGGGCGGTCCTCCCAGAGGGCAGGCGCATGGCACACGCAGTCCCAACTATGGGCTATGGGACACGCAGCCCTGATTAATTAAATAGGACGCGCAGTCTCGATTATGGGACACACAGTCCTGGCAAATGGGACGCACAGTCCCTGTCATGGGACACGCAGTCCTGGCAAATGGGACGCGCAGTCCCTGCTATGGGGCACTCATTCCTGGCAATTGGGACGCGCAGTCTCGACTATGGGACACACAGTCCTGGCAAATGGGACGCACAGTCCCTGTTATGGGACACGCAGTCCTGGCAAATGGAACGCGCAGTCCCCGCTATGGGACACACATTCCTGGCGAATGGGACGCGCAGTCTCGATTAGGGGACACACAGTCCTGGCAAACGGGACGCGCAGTCCCTGATATGGGACACGCAGTCCTGGCAAATGGGACGCGCAGCCCCTGCTATGGGACACACATTCCTGGCAAATGGGACGCGCAGTCTCGATTATGAGACACGCAGTCCTGGCACATGGGACGCACAGTCCCTGTTATGGGACACGCAGTCCTGGCAATTGGGACGCGCAGCCCCTGCTATGGGACACACATTCCTGGCAAATGAGGCGCGCAGTCTCGATTATGGGACACACAGTCCTGGCAAATGGGACGCGCAGTCCCTGTTATGGGACACGCAGTCCTGGCAAATGGGACGCGCAGTCCCTGCTATGGGACACACATTCCTGGCAAATGGGACGCGCAGTCTCGATTATGGGACACACAGTCCTGGCACATGGGACGCAAGTCCCTGTTATGGGAACACGCAGTCCTGGCAAATGGGACGCGCAGCCCCTGCTATGGGACACACATTCCTGGCAATTGGACGCGCAGTCTCGATTATGGGACACACAGTCCTGGCAAATGGGACGCACAGTCCCTGTTATGGGACACGCAGTCCTGGCAAATGGGACGCGCAGTCCCTGCTATGGGACACACATTCCTGGCAAATGGGGCGCGCAGTCTCGATTATGGGACACACAGTCCTGGCAACTGGGACGCACAGTCTCTGGTATGGGACACGCAGTCCTGGCAAATGGGACGCACAGTCCCTGTTATGGGACACGCAGTCCTGGCAACTGGGACGCGCAGTCTCGATTATGGGACACACAGTCCTGGCAAACGGGACGCGCAGCCCCTGTTATGGGACACGCAGTCCCCGCGCATTGGCGGATGCCCCATGTAAATCGGAGGTGAGGGGGAGAGATCGAAGTGGAACGGATAGGTGGCAGTGTCAGGCATGGGGGTGGGGGGCTTACCAGCCACCGTGCAAAGGGCCCGCGTGTAGGCCATGGGCGGTCATAGGCCGCGCAGTGGAGGGCATTGGCGCGAGTGTTGCACAGCATAGGCGTGGTAGTAGCCGCATCTTCACAAGTGTTGCATCCAGAACATGGCGTGCCACCATTTTTAGGGCACGAAGCGGTAAAACATTACCCGTGCCTTAAACGACAGCCGTGACAATCCTCAGCCTCCTCCGCCTCCTCCGCCTCCTCCGCTTCCTCCTCCTCCTCGTCCTTCACCTCCTCCGCTTCCTCCTCCTCCTCCTCCTTCACCTCCTCCTGCTTCTCCTCCTCCTCCTCCTCCTCCTCCACCTCCTCCTCCCTCTCCTCCTCCTCCTCCTCCTCCTCCTCCTCCTCCTACCCCCCTCCTTCCCAGAGGGCCTCTCTTCTCCTGCGAGGGAGGAGGTGGAGAGCCACCGCGAAGCTCCAACGGTGCTGGCGCAGCCACTGCGCTGCCTGCAGGTGGTGCCCGCCTGGGCGGACGGTGTCTGCCCCCTCGCGAGAGACAGCCGCTGCAAGCGGAGCTACCATTAGGTCGGGCGTGTCCTCCTAGAGACGGACTTTGGACGAAGAATTCAAAGAACATGCTCCAACAAAAAACGTCCCCAGACTATTGTCCTACTATGTTTGAATATTCCCCCTGTAGAGGGACGCGCCCAACTTAAAGCAACCCACGACAAACACTGCCCGGGCGAGCGGACGGGGAAGGGGCGGAAATGCGAGAGGTCAAAACGACACGAATTTACCCCACAACGTAGAGAGCCTGCTAGGAGACTTCCGGATCGCATGACGGCTGTTTGGGAGAGTCTGGAGGCCTCCTGGCTGCCTGTTCCACTGCGAAGCACGCGCTGCGTCACGCCGCGAGGGGCCCTAGACAAGTAACAAACAAACGAAAGCAGGTGGCAGATTGGCCTCTTCCCCATCTATCTACCGACGGTCTTCGTCGGCCTGGGGAGGGGATCCCGACAAGGAAAGACTGGCGGGATGCATCCTACCAGGATCCCAGCGAGGAAAGGCTCCCAACGAGGAAAGACTGCCAGCATCCCAACGAGGAAAGACTGGGTCCCAAGGTCCGAAAACACTAAGTCCCACCGAAGACCCATGCCGAAGACCCGTCTGACTTTCTGGAGGAGTTCCATGGTTGGAGGCCAGGGGTGTGAGGCTGAGGGATACAACAGCTGGGGGCTGGAAGTTGAGGGTTGGAGGTGGTCGAAAGGCCACCCTTCGGGGTCAAACTCCAGCAGGAGGAGGCCCAAGCACATCCACGCCACGGTCGCAAGGAGCGCGGCGACCGTGGCGCCGTGGAACCACCGCTTGGGCCCCTGGCAACGTCGGGGCGTTGACTCGTCAGCTCCGCGGGGTCCGCCAGCGCTGCACTCCTGGGAGATATCATACCGAGAAAGGAAGCGGAAACTCAAGTGGCAGAGGGACAGGAGAAAGGGACACGGACAGAGGGTAGAGAGGGAGGCAAGGGAGACAGAGAGGAAGAGAGGGAAAGAAGTCATAAGGGGAGGGGGAAAAAGGAGAAGTGGTGAAGGGAGACGCAAGGGAGACAGGGAGGGACAGAGGGAACTAGAGTATGAGGGGAGGGGGACGGGGGAAAGCATTAGGCCGCAGCACCTGAGGCTCAAGCACGGGTCCAAGACTCCACAACAGGAAGAAGTGCCTGTTCCACGCTCTGCCAAAAGACAAGAGAGCTTCCATTCGCTTGGCTTTCCCAGACTGCCCCGACAACGACGACGACGACGACGACGACGACGACGACGACGACGACGACGACGACGGCAAACGACAGCGACCGCAGCGGGCGGACAAGCGGGAAACGTCATCGTCGGGCGGGCGGGACACGGCCGTGGGCGAGTCGGTCGGGCGAGCGGGCGGGCCACGTCGCCGTCGTCATGGGCGAGTCGGTCCGGCGGGCGGGGGGGCCACGTCGTCGTCGTCGTCGGCGCCGCCGTCGTCTGCTGGCGAGGGGGGGGAGAGCGGTCTGGGCCCTCTTCCCTTCTTTGGGGGGGAGGGAGGGGGGCTGGCTCAAAACATCCCCCTCCCCCCTCAAGCGGCAGCAGAACGCGCGCTTTCGCGGCTGAAGTTCTGGGGTGGTGAGGGGCGGGGCACGAGCCGCTCGTTGCCCCCCCCGCTCCAGGGCCGCGCGGAACAGCTTTGGCAAGAGCGTCTGCAAGATCAGCGTCACCATGAAGGATCGGGCCTCGCCGCTGACGTGGGGGAGGAGAGAGGAGGGAGGAGAAGGGAGGAGAGGAGGAGGACGAGGAGGAGGAGGAGAATTGAAGGATAAGTTTGGGGAGGATGAAGAGGACCAGGCCTCGTTGGTGACGCGGGCGGTGGGGACGCCGTCGTACAGCGGACCCTCGCACTTGCAATAGCCGACGAGCACGGCCTCCGAAGTGAAGGGCACCGGATGAGAGGTGGTGGTTCCCCAGATCGAGTTGGTTAGGCGCCAGAGGCTGATCCAGTCGATCATCTGCGGGTAAAAGATGTCGCACATCGGCATGCTGCAGTCGAAGCGCGACTGACCAAACATGGCGGTTAGTCTCGCTAGGATGGAGTCCCGGACCGATTCCATGCCGCTTCTCTCGCCATCCGACACGGCGACCGTGCCGGTGCCGGTGTCCAGCCGCCGTGTTGCACGGGATCTTGGCTCCTCTGATACGGGCTCGCCACCGAAAAGGGAAGCAGAGGGAAGAAGAGGCTGATCATCAACAGCTTGAATACGGCGGTACCTCACCGCCGTGCCCTCGGGGACGGTGATACCAGGCGGAGCCAATGTGATGTGCTCGAAAGGAAACCCCGAGGGTGCTGTGAAAGCAGGGCACTCTGCCAAGTACTCCCGGACGCAAATCGGCCCTATGGCCTTTTCCGCGTACTGCACGAAGACGGCTGTCACCAGGAAGAGCATCAGCAACAGAACCCTCTGATACAGCAGAGGTCGCATCCTGAACTGCAGAAGGCAGCCGAGCAGGACGCTTTCGTCGGCGACGTGCTTCAGAGCGTACGCCACTGTTACCTTCGCCTGTTCTGGAGGCGCCCCTCTGACGCAACAGCTGCAACAACCGAGTCTACAGCAACGTCGGCACCATCTGTGTCCGCAGCGCTGGCGGCAGCGCCGGCAGAACCTGTCGCAATCGCAGCACTCGGGGCAGCACTGCTCGCAGCACTCTCCGCAGCGGTCCTCCGAGACCAACCCCTCGGGTGATTGGCCACCGAGCTCGGCCTCCTGGCAGGTCGAAAAAATCAACTGACAATAATGCAGGGGCAAAGCAAAGGACATCTCAGGCGTCAGCCAGAATAACGATTCGAAGTTTAGCTGATCACTTGGAAGCAAATACGATACATGGGGAAGGCGGAGAAGGGAAGAGGACGGGGGCGACACCGATGAGGAAGGACTCGGATCCAGAAAAGTGGCCCGCGATGGGGCAAGAGTACCATTCTGGGCGACGGGAAGACGGCCCCGACCCTAAATCGAGACCCACGCTGCAGTGGCAGCACCGTGTTGAGACACCGAATGTGCTCTGGTTGAAAAATGGCATGACAAAAACAAATAATGATGACATCTTGTGCGCAAGACAACTCATACGCGGAGGGGGCGGACTACTCCCCAGCTATCTTCGGGGGAGAGAGAATACGACGGTGTATATCGAATCAGTGTTGAGTTATTGCGGGGCGAGAAGAGCGAGCAGGAGCGACGAGCCAGGAGGGATGAGCGACGAGCGGGAAGGAGCGAGGAGCGAGGAGCGAGAAACGAGGGAGGGGAGGAGGATCAAGAGAGGAGGATGAATGAGCGAGGCGCGAGGAGCGAGGAGGAGCGAGGAGTGAGGAGGAAGGGAGGAGGGAGCGAGAAGGAGCCAGGGAGCGAGGGCAGCAGGCGGAGGCGCGAATGTGACGCTCGGCTGGCTCCGGCCTCGCAGGGATCGGCCGCGGTGCCCGGCGACATGGCGCGAGGCCGCTGCCGCGCCGCGGGCCCCTTGCTCGAGCGAGGCGCTGTCGTCGGCGTCGCAATCGCCGCCGTCGCCGTCGCCGCCGCCGCCACCGTCGTCCTTCGCCACCGACGCCGCCGTCGTCTTCGCCGCCGCAGCCGTTGCCGTCGCCGCGGCTGCCGTCGTCGCCGCCGACGTTGGGCGCGGGTCGAAGCTTGAGGCTCTCGGAAGGTTTACGCCGCTGTTTGGCCTCCAATGAGCCCGTCGTTGTTGTCGTCGTCGCCAGTCGGGGGTCCAGACCCTGAAACGGTGCACGCCTTTCTTGAGCATCCAGCGTGTTCTTCGTCGTTTTCGTGCTCGTGGCCACCGCCGCCGCCGCCGTCGTCGTCGTCGTCGTCGTCATCGCCGTCGTCGCAAGATTCGCCGGCTTCGTCGCTGTCGTTATCGCCGTTGTCGCCGCCGTCGTCGTCGCCACCGTCGTCTTCTTCGCAGTCTTCGTCTTCGTCTTCGTCGCCGTCGCCGTCATCGCCAGCGCCGTCGTCAGAGGGGGGGGATCGCAACAGTTCGGGCGGAGTGTCCGTCCGGGCGCGCGGGCTGCGAGAGCCCGCCGCGCAGAACTCACGCGGCGGGAGGAGCCGCTTCTTATGCGAGCAGGGGTAACCTCAGAGGGTTTTTAGTTTTGACCCCCCCCCGTTTCTCCGGGCGGTGAATGGGACTGGTCCTAAAACCTCGTCGCGGCGGAGATTACTTCCCCTATATTGCTGGGCGGGCTAAATAAGGTTGGGGGGTTCTTTATCCCAGTGAATAGCGTTCTCTGGACAATCCTGCGCAACAGAGGAATGATTAGCACGTTTGTAGGTCTGCAATTCAAATCGGCAAAGTATTCGCCGAGGGCGTTGCTCGCCATCTCCTCCTTCATCTCGTCGTGTTTATGAGGGTCAAGTCTCTGAACCAAGATTTTCCATGAGAGCGCTCCTGAGGCATAATGACTGATAGTCGTCGTAGTCGCAGTCGCATTCGTAGTAGCTGTCGGCCTCGTTGTTGCGCGGCGGGTGCCGCGGGGGAAAAAATGCTTCCCCCACGGGTAGAATACCAATCCGTGAATAAGGCCTCTGAAAAAATCAAGTGCACCTTATTGGGGGGTCTAACCATCCTTAGAGCTTGGGGGTACGCCCGTGAGCAGAGTGGCACCAGCTACAAACGCGATCTTGCATGCGTGCTCTGGTGAACTGACAGTGACGGCGCCACCTTGGGGCATCCTCCGCGGCGGCCATGCGCAAGAGCGACGGAAAATCTGCCAGCAGCTCACGCAGCGCACTCATAACATGAAGAGGTAAACACTGGCTTGCTATCGGCGAGCATCGAGACGCGCCTGGTGTCTCGCCTATGGAGAGGCCCCGAGGCGAGCAGGCGATCGAGCGATGAATGCCAATCCAGGCGGTACACTGTGGGATCTGTAAAGACGGGGTCCTGACTAGTCCTGGGCGAGACGCAGCTCCTCCCATTCCTTACACTCCCGATCCTGCTGCTGCTGCTCGTCCTCGTCCTCCTCCTTCAGCATCCTCCTTGTCCTCCTGCTCATCCTCCTGCTCAGCCGTGACCTCCTCTTCCTATGTACGCATGTCTCCGTTTCCGATTGCACATAATACGACGAGGTCTTTCTGTTGCAATTCGAGGTCCCCTCTCATCCCCGATTCCTCCTTATCATCCCTTCCGTCTACTGGGGGCTCCCTCCCGTCCTCGCGCCCCGCCCCAAGCCTCCTGGCTCCCCTTCTCCCCATCCTCCCTCCCTCCCTCCCTCCCTCCCTCCCTCCCTCCCCCCCACCCTCCCTCCCTCCCTCCCTCCCACCCACCTCCCCCCCACCCTCCTTCCTTCCTCCCTCCCTCCCTCCCTCCCTCCCTCCCTCCTCCTCCTCCTTCTCCTCCTCCTCCTCCTCGTCGTAGTGTCTCCAGAAGGCTCTGGAAGAGGAGGCGCAGCGTCGAACAATGACTCCTCCCAGCATCACTCTATCGCCGAACGGCCGTGCCGTGGCGAAAAGTGAGCTCAACCGCCATTCGGGCAGCGCGAGCCGTTTCGAGTTGGCCGCATCGTCAGCCGTATCATATGTACAGGTGCCTCTATGCTGGCATCCAGCATGCGGCATACATGGTAATCTATCACTACGAACTTGGGAGAGTCAAGCGTGCCGTCTATGAGAGCGAGATGCAAGAGGGGGTCGAGAAGGAAGTAATTGCCCCTATGCACGTGCGAGCAGTCATTCGAACCGTGGACATGTCATGAAATCGTGTTTCGAAGAATCGGGCTGGCAAGGGCATCCCAAAAGGCAGGCAGCACCCGGTTTGCAGAGGCTGGTAGAGGAGACCCATCCGCCCACCCACGTTCTCACAGCCGCCCACCGCCACGAGGGAGGAGGAGGAGGAGGAGGAGGAGGAGGAGGAGGAGGAGGAGGAGGAGGAGCAGGAGGAAGAGGAGGAGGAGAAGGATGAGGAGGAGGAGGAGCCTAGCTCCCACGCCCCCTTAGGTCCTCTGCACATGGTCGATTCCTCCTTGCACAATACCATTTTTGATCACCCCACCCCACCACCCAAGGTCGACCGACCCTGGGGGCGGGCATGGCTGCGTCGGATCGACACGCTAGCCTACAGCTCGAGGCTCGAAGGAGGAGGGGCAGGAGGAGAAGGAGGAGAAGGAGGAGAAGGAGGAGGAGGGTGCACGCAGCCAGCATGGCACTTAGTGCCCGTTCCACGCCAAACAAGGAGGTGACGGAGGAGGAAGAGGAGGAGGAGAAAGGGAGGAGGAGCAGGAGGAGGAGAAGAAGGAGTAGGAGGAGGAGGAGAAGGAGAAGGGGAAGGGGAAGGGGAAGGGGAAGGGGAAGGGGAAGGTGAAGGGGGAAAGGGAAAAGGGGAAAGGGAAGGGGAAAGGGAAGGAGAAGAGATGGAGAAGGGAAGGAGAAGAGAAGGAGAAGAGAAGGAGAAGGGAGAAGAGGAGGAGGAGGAGGAGGAGGGAAGGAGAGGATAAGAGGGATGAGGCGAAGAAGGAGGCGAAGGAGAGAGAGTGAGGAGGCGGAGATGAGGAGGCGAAGGAGCGAAGGAGGAGGAGGAGAGGAGAGGGAGGAGGAGGAGGAGGAAGAGGAGAGGAGGAGGAGGAGAGGGAGGAGGCGAAGGAGGCGAAGGAGGAGGAGGAGGAGGGGGAGGAGGCGAGGGAGGAGGCGAGGGAGGAGGCGAAGGAGGCGGCGGAGGAGGCGGAAGAAGCTCCCTCGGGTAGCCCGGGGCGGGACCTCCCGGGCCCGGCGGCGGCTCCCGCTCCTTCTCCTGGCCCTGCTCGGGGGCGCCCTGCGGCCTCGCCTCGCGCTCGCGGTTGACGTCCCGGAAGTCCTCCCCGCCGCGACTCCACCCGCCTCCTCGCCTTCCGTTGCTCCAATCGTACTTAAAAAACCATATCGAGGGGAACAAAAAGTGACATAGACATAAAAAGTCGGAGGTCCGCGCAGATTTCTCGGATCCGCGCTGGGCCCCCCTGGCGGCGCCTCCGGCGCCGCCCCTGGCGCGCTCCGCGCGCCAGGGAGGGGGGTCCAGCGCCGATCCGAGAAATCCGCGCGGACCAAGTAAGTATCGAAACAGTGTCGAGCAAGTATCGCCTCCCAGGGCCCGGCACCTGAAAACCTTCCAGCTTCGGTACCTTCTTGGCGATCGAAATTCTTCCTGCTGGTCAAGGCTAAAGTAGGTTGGAACATCGTAATCCTTGTCCCCCTGGGGAGTCCACTGGAAGGTTCTGTTGCATCTTCGGGGGGCCGTTTTCTCCTCGTCCCCTTTCCTCTGCCCCTTGCCCGTTTCCCCTTTCTCGGCCTCCTGGGAGGCCCTCGTCGCCACAACTGGATTCGCCTCGAAGTCCTGGTCAGAACACACCCCAGGAGAGGTCCAGGGAGTACCGGTGTCGGTGCCTTTTGGTTCCCCTTTTTGTTTGTTTTATGTTTCCTGCCTTTGGCTTTTCTTAAATTTAGCAACTGGCTAGGATTTTCTGTGTCTCTTTGGACTCTGCTGCTGGGACTTTGCCTTGTTCGGGGGTCCCTGTCTGTCCCGTCGCGCCCGTATCCGTGTCGAATCCGTGTCGAATCCATGGCAGACGCGTTGAATCCGTGTCGAATCCGTGTCGAAGTCATGTCGAAACTGCGTCAAATCCACGTCGCGTCCGCATCAAGCCCGCAACGGGCACAAGAAAGGACAGCAATTTGAGGGACAGACGGGCCCACCCGAAGATGCAACGTAAGGAAGGGGATCGTGTCCGAGCTGTTTCACCTCGGCGTTCCAGAGCCGTTGCAAGCACCTGATGCTGTCAATTACGACTCAAGATGAAGCCACCCGCCGCGGGTAGGGGGCCGAGAACTCTGGTGGCCGCCGACTCGGACAAATCGAGTCGTCGGAGGACTGTGCTTCTCCTTCCTCGCCTCCCCTCCTGACAAATACTTCCTCCTCCTGCTCCTCGCACGACCCGCCGTGTCGTGGGTCCCTGAAGGCTGAAACTTCGAAGAATTAGACAGGTAGGTATGAGCGGTTCAGTTCCCAAAGATGGCTCTCGCGAAGCCGCCCCGCTCTTTCGCCGTATCATGTTCCCAGCGGGGCTCTCGATCGAGCCGTCCCCAAACTCAAAGCCAGAAACCAGATAGTGTACAACAACTGCACGGACGGAGGGCGAACCCTGTACAGAACATCCTCCTCCTCCTCCTCCTCCTCCTCTTCCTCCTCCTCCTCATCCTCCTCCTCCTCCTCCGCCTCCTCCTCCTTCGCCTCCTTCGCCTCCTCCATCTCCTCCTCCCTCCTCCTCCTCCTCCTCCTCCTCCTCTCTCGCGTCGCGGTCCTCCCCCTATCCTCCACCTCCTCCTCTGCCTCCTCCTCCTCCTCCTCCTCCTCCTCCTCCTCCCCCTCCTCCTCCTCCACCTCCTCCTCCTCCTCCTCCTCCTCACTCGCCTCCTCCTCCTCCTTACGCCCTCCTTCGCCTCCTCCATCTCCTCCTCCTCCTCCTCCTCCTCCTCCACTCCTCCTCCTCCTCCTCCTCTCACTCCTCCTCC